TCTATTCCCGAATAGCCGTACCCAGCATTCAGGACTTCCTATCATAACTACAAGATTCCATTCCTAAAAACGTCCTCTACAGTAGAGACTGATACCAAGTGAGTTTCTAACCTCCGGGGAGCTTAAATTTAGTCTATTAGTCCTTAGCTCCACTTTACACGACATTGCCTCCGGACCAACCATACAATCCCGGCTATCCAACACCGGACTACTTTTCTTCAAGATACATATGCGTCGGGTGCTACACCAAACATGGCAGACTCCACATTTTCGACCATTACTACGTATATTATCAACGTATATTATGTAACCAATTACAATACAATAACAACTGGTTTGTACATCATTCATAGAAATAATCTACGAGAAAAGAAGTGCTCAAGGCAAGCTTCTTCCAGAAAACTTGTCGCCAAGTTATAGATAGCCGAAGCCTTAAACTCTTCTTCGCCAGTCAGTCTTCTTCAAAAGTTTATCAGGGCAGACCACCAGCAGGTGAGAGTTAAGCAGCCATTAAACATAGATTATCTCCCTTCTTATGCAACGCAATATACTTTGATTTCATATTTTCCGTATGCCTGTGCGTGAGCATGTTGATCGATTAGGACTACCCTTTTTTTGTCGAAATGTCGCCGATAGACATTAACATAAATTTTTGGAATGACATTTGTTCCAACGAAAATATTTTTAATTTTGAGTTTTTTTAAAATACTGTTCAGTCACTTCACCATTGGCCCCTGTAAACGGTGCCTGCTAATTAGTAAAATTCAGTTGTCAGTTTCAGGGACCTAAAAATAGTGGCTTGCAGACCTACGCACGTTTTCAAATCGTTTTGGAGTGTCTTTCTGATAGAGAACAGAGTTTATATGACTTTCGATGAATACCTTCTGCTGTCAAACGTTATATCCTTGGTGGAGGATACGAATATGAAAATAGAAACGCTCTAAGCATATTCAGTAGACGTTTAGAAACAAGAAGAAGCAATATTGATGTATTAGTTGTGCTCGATCCGTATGTCGAATGAGTCGTCAACCGTAATGCGCTATAGGATGGTAGCGGTATAAAGCGATTTTATAAATAAACTTACATACGAGTTAACTCACAACAACTCAGTTTGTCTACATAATAATTAGAAAGAAAATTACGTGAATCGATAACACAACAAAATGCTTATATAAATAATTGCCAAACACAAATTACGAACACATACATGGGCATACGATTATATGTATTGTATTGTAGATGCTAACAACTAAGATCGTATGTGATCATGTTATAAAGACATCTTATTTTTATACAATACGTACATTGTAGTTGTTGCTTCTATTTAAGTTTTGTTTTCACTTCATCACTCCAGCCATGAACATGATATGAAAAGAAATATTTATATATATATATATTTATATAATGTATTATATGTATATATAAATATGTATGTTCCAGACTTTAAAGTAATATGATAAAGTCAGGCAGACACAACTGATTATGGTGACAAAACCAAATATGTTTGCTTGTTTGTAGGTATGCTTGTATGTAAGCATCTATGCATGTAAAGTTGCAATTGCATGCTTTTGCTGTTAATATAGTTATAAGCGTACAAACATACATTGTGCATGTTCAGGAGGATGATGTTATAACAACAACAACAACAACAACAACAAGATGTCTGTAATACTAAACTCTAAATATGGTAAAAGATATATTGTCAAGAAAGTAAATAAGGAAAATGAAAGAAATAAGAAAGGTACGTCCACCACGTGAAACGAATCTTTGATACTCAAAGTGAGTCTTTGATACTTGTGAAAAAGGCTCTAATCGGTAAATTGTTATTTTTATAAACAAATGAAAATACTACAGTGGACTATGGTCATCTTTCAAAATAAAGCCAATTATGGGAAGTCATCAAAAAAGTGGTCCGGTCCGAACTATTTTCCGTAGCGTTCGTCCTTGGGTCAAGGTACATCAGTGTACCAAATTTGATCAAAATAACTCAAAATGTATGGCCTCCAGGTTGTATACAAGAGCATAAGATGAATAGATGGGCCGAGGGACAGACGCGAGAGACACGCTTGAAACAACACAGATAGTGATCGTGAATAGGTCGGTGTAATGAAAAATGGGTCTATCTCAAGTCAAGTTGGAGACACCCACACAAACTTAATATACCCTCGCACCACAAGTGAGGTAATGCATATATAATATAAATATTGATGATGCCAGAATGGATTCTATTCCCCTCACATTAACTTGCCTTTTAAAACAGGTAATTTTGGTTGGAATCACGAATACTTTTATATCCAACTCGCTCCGCTATCCACACTGAAAAAAATTTTGTATTATAAGAAAATGTTTCGGGCCAGTAAAGAATGCCAATCATTTCTTTTTATAAAAGGGCTCTCTCTCCCTAAATTGATTACAATGCTTGTCAAACGTTTTGTCACTTTTTCAAATGATTTAGGGGGTGTTTATGAAAATAATTTCTTATGAATGGTGCGATGGTCTACACAGATGGTTCAATAGACGAACGTAATTCCCTTTGACCCTTCTTAACCAACACTGTGCCTAAACTAGATGACTTGTCAAATACAAAGAAAAGGGAAAACAAAAATTCAGTTAACTCGTCTTCAAATTCTAAAGTAATTCATTTCGTCTATGAGGAGGGCTTAAAGCCTAGTTCTACCCATCGTGTACAGCATTATATATATAGTAAATATAATCTTTTACTTGCGATAGATATAAAATGAGTGGGACGAGCGTTAGATACCTCACACTGCTTCGCCTAGTCAAGTTATTCATTCTTTTTGATGGCAATATTTCAAAAGTTACGCCTTATTTTCATGTGAAACCCCTCTTAGTGAGGAACTCGCAAAATATCACATGGCGTGATCCAAATTTAGCAAAGCCTAACCTGTTTCCTAAAAATTGTATTATTTTCCAGTTACCGTTATAAAAGGCTAGAAAACAGGGCTCGTTTCTCATGATAACCCCTACTTATTTTAAAGTCTAAAAAATAGATCTACTTAATCCAAGTTCTCTATCGTTAATTAGCTAAAAATTTTCGTCCCAAACCATTAAAAATTAAATCTTTTTCTAAACAAGTTGTTTTTCATAAGAAATTTTACATCGACTAGAGTCCAAGAAATGGCTTTATATGGTGGAAAGTTGGTTTAGTTAATTGTCATGTCAAAATCCTATCGTGCACAAATTTTCCTCATGAAACATTAACAGTTGGGCGTTTTTCGCATATAAGGAATTATATCTCCCAAGAATTCTTATATGCGATGATATATATAGACTTAAGTAGGCCAACTCACGTATTTCGATATATTATTATAAACTAATTTTGACCACGGAATACTACAAATGGCACCTTTCAAAGATTCAGCTTTCATAGGGGCATTTACATGAGGGGGCGTTCCAAAATTTGCCTCAGCTGATCGAAAGTTTTTATATCAATTTAAAGTTTTCTCGACAAGTTTTAAAAGTCTTAGTTGTTTTCATATAACGACTGTTCAAGATAAGTCCTTATGTGGTCGAAAAAGTCGCCCGATTCAAACCATTTTCAAGAACTGTCGATCGGTAGTCAAAACACATCATTATACGAAATTTCATTACCGTATCTCAAAACTTGTGATCTGTAGATTGAACACAAAAATACATGGACAGACGGACAGACAAGCTTCAAATACAAAATCATTTTCGGAAACGTTTGGCATAAGAAGAGATGCGCCTATCTTCACCTCTTCTGGTTGTTACGTACTGGACAATAGGAAATTGTGTATAAATTTCTTTTTCTTACTTAATGAAGAAAAACTTTCGGGTAAAAAATACTAATGAAAAAGCATTTTCATGTGTGCTATCAGACTATAAATACAATTAAATGGAATTATAATTTGTCACGCCATCATCTACCTTTTTGAAAAGAGGGGAAGCTTTTATAAAAGTATAGCGTATGGCGTATGGCGTTTTGTTTCTTTTTTTTTTTTTTTTATTATTATTAATTTTACTAAAATACTAATAATACATGCTGGTGACAGGTTCAAAAGAGTGTCTTTAAAAGTACACATTATTCAATACGCGTCGAGTTGATTGTCTACGCTTTACTTTTTCTGGTCTCAACTTGTTTCCTAAGCAGTGTAAAAGCGACAAAAAAAAAGAAAAGAAATTTTATAATTCCGGCAAGTGTGAAATTGTTCACGTTTGATAAGGTATTTTGATGGGGTGTGAATGGGTTGCTGTATGCTGGCAGACGGTGATAACCTTCACTGCCTTTCTCACTGATTTATGTTATCTGCGCTTACACGTGTTCGATGCTTCGCCGTTTTCAACCGAGTGGATAATTTTTTAAATGCTCTTTTAATTTTTCAACTCAATCTAAACAGAAAATTGATTTGTTCACATTTTTTCAACGTTTAAATTTAATGGCATCATTTTATAAATTTACAAACACACACACACAAAATGTTTTGTGTATCTAGTACCTACCCTCTTGTTCCTTTCTAGTTTGCAGTTGAACTAACCTATCGGCCTTAATAGCTATTACTTTTTCTTCTTCTTATTTTTCTTATTCTTCTTCTATTTCTTGTCTACAGTTACCAAGTTTAAGCCTGTAGTTTTCAGTTTTCTTTTTTGCTTTTTTTTTTTTTGCTACTTTGAACGATTTATACGTGCATTCCGTGCAGCCAATACATAAACATTTTTACACGTTCATTTCCGTCGACACTTTGTAATGTTTGCTGTTCTTGTAAAAGATTTTTTTCAAACGCCAGCCATGTCCTGGAATTTAATCAATTTTTTTTTTTTTTTTTCGTTCTTTCTTTTCTCTCAGCTTACGCTGAATAAAACGTATAATCGATTTTAGTTTATTGTTATTGTCTTCCTCGTATATGTATTGATTGCTGAAAATTTATCTTAAATTTAAAGAATATTTAAAATTGTTTTTAATTTCGTCTACTCAAATGAATATTTAAAAAAAATCAAATGCTTTTTCTCTTTCTTTACAGGTAGAAGTAAGTATTGCACTCTATCCTCTATTATAAGAACACATGACGAAGACATGCGGCAAGTATTCAAAAATTTAAATTTTAATAATCATTTTCAATTGAATATAGCGTCTTTTACATGCACTAGCTACAAATGTGCATACGTTACAAGTGTTTTCCCGTTTGCCCCTTTCTGAGGGCACTAAACATTTGAGGTGTTAGAGAGGCATGGCTTTCTTTAGAGGAGGTGATATGGTTTTTGACATATGGCTTCGTTTTGGTACTTGAGATGTAGTGAAGCTGTTCAAAGGTGTGGAATTTGTCAAGCCAAGTTTCGAACTCCCATCAGCACAGTGGAACTAAGCGTGTTAGATGCGCAAATAAGTTTCCCGGTCTCTTGTTCGGCTTTGAGACGAAAGTTTTCATTCTACCAATTTTCCACATATTCAAAGTTAGCCAATTATAGCCGAACCAAGTCATTCCAGATCGAACTAAGGGTTATTGTAAAGATATGTAAAAAAAAGATTCAACTTCAGACATCTTTGTGCATCAGCGTCCACCTTGTCTGGATCCAGGAAGTTTAATTGCACAAGTGTATGCTTGCCTTAAACTGTCTGAGTACGGATCGTATCTGAGAATGAGCGTCAGCCGCCCATACATTTTTGCCTAGAAAAATTGCAATTTATTGGTCATAGTATGGTATTAATCAGAAACCCGCTATATATCAACGAGCGACAGCTAAAATTCAAGTACAAGTGAGCTGGGCTCACTGGGTTCACCAAGAGGTATTCTTTAGGTTTCCTAAATATGTTAGACAATTTATCGATCACAAAGATTGATATCCACTCCTATAGGATGATGACGTAGGATTGTGGAAGTTGTCGCCGATTCTTTCCCAAAAATGTATTATCGGTTAATGAAAAGTCTATGGCTGGTCTACCCTGATTCTTATTGCTTGAACTAATCATAGATATTATATATTAGTTAAAGTGTTTGCTTATAAGGATTCAATCAGTCATTTGCTTTTTTAAGTAATAAGATAAACATTTAGATGGAAAGATTTTCGTGCACTTGCATAATGATATCGTCCTAAGTTTCTTGTAAGTGTTTTTAACAAAATCTTGGCTAACAGTTTGGAAGGCAATAGGAGAAGTTAAATTGTTATCTCCTCGAGTGAGAAGACCTTATTGTGCTCAAATTGTTATCTCTCGATATCCTTGCAGTAAAGTTAAAGTTAGAAAATTTATTAATAAACTATTTGAAGAACAAGTAAGAACATTATAGTCAGGCGACGCCGACCATTAAATACCCTAAACCACTTCGCCTAGTATAGTTGTTCGTTCGTTTTGGTAATAATACATCAGAAAGCACACATTATTGCCACACAAATTAATTATAATTTCCGTGAAAATCCGCCAATTGAAAGGTTAGATTTTCTCTCCATATAAAAGTTTGCGCCTGTATATTTTGGGGCCCAAAAAAAATAGACCTATGTGACCCAAATTCCTTAGCATTAACTTTTTTGCTGCGATAAATTAATTTTCATTATAAAATGTTAAAAATGAAGCCTTTTTCCGAAGATCTTAGTACTCGTGAGATATCTTAAATGGGAGGAGCCAGGAAATAGACCCATGTGGTTCAAATTAGGTTCACTTAATTGTTTCATTTAATTAGCTTTATAGGTTTTCATCATAAAAAATTAACAATTAGGCCTGTTTGTCATGTAAGGCGTCATGAGAATCCTTAAATGCGGTGGTTTCCAAAAAATAGACCTAGCTGATCCAAATTCGCTAAGGTAAATTTCTTCATCTATTTAGTATTATGAGCCAGTTTTCACCATGAAATGTTGTAAATTCGACCTTTTTGCCATATAAAGCTTTAGTTTCCTTAGGAACTGTTATGTGAGATGGGGTTTAAAAGTTTTCCCTTGCTGATTCAAAGTTTTGATACCTATTTAGAATGCCGAAATAATACTACTTAGCCACTTTTGTCGAGAAGTTTTGAAAATTGCAATTGTTTTCCATATAACGGGAGTGGTCGAAAAAGTGAATCAATTCGAATCATTTTCAATAGCGCTCATCCTTGGGTCAAATTGCATCTGTACACCAAATTTTATCAAAATCTCGCAAAAATTCTGATCTGCAGCTTGAACACAAAAATACATAAGCAGCCATCATAGGGACAGTTGGACAGACAGATTTAGATCGATTTAGAAAATTATCCTGAATCGATTGGTGGGTCCATCTTATACTCTTCGTGGGTGTTACATATGTCCGCACTAATTAAATATACTCTCTACCACAAGGGGTGGTTTGCCCTTTTCTTGCTGTTCACTAAATCTTAAGAAAATGATAAGAAATTTCGGTTTCTAAAAGGCTAAGAAATGCCAATTTTGCTTAATGTTTGAAAGAGAAATGAATAATGAGCAAAATAACAATTTATAGTGTGCTTGGTGATGGTGGGTTGCGGGCAAAGGTCCGGAGGAGCCTGTCGTTGACAATTTTAATGTTAGTTTCGTATTCCTGGCGATGGAAGGAACCGTTCATGTGTTTTAAAGTTACTTCACGCTGGAATCTATTTTAAACCATAACTAATATAAGGTTTCTGTTGCTAAAGAATGCTCGTTAGTGGAACTGACAAAATTGCTTTATTTAAATGCTTTATGAGATAGATGCTAGTCGTCTTTGGGGTTAAGAAATGTATGTACTTACAACCGTAACAAAACCTCAAATGGAGTTCGACTTGACAATGAAAGTTTTCAAAATAGTTTTTCTTGAAAAACCGAACGTTCAACAATAAATTGCATTTTTAATTTAATGACTTTAAGTGGTATGTATGTATGTATGTATGTATTTGTGTAGAAAATTACTTGACAGAAATTTTATGTTAACAAAACTGAATGCTTAAGTGATTTTACATGCTTCATATGACAGTGAGAAAACAATAAGTAAGAAAACAAAAACAACAATAACAACAACAACTTAACAACTAGAGTCATCTTAAAGGAGTCCCAGTGATTGATTTGTAAGCAGTCTTTTAATTATTGTTTCATGACTTGGCGAATAAGCGAAATTTAATTTAATCTCGCTCACTATGCCAATCATCGAAGAAGCAACGAATAGAGAAATGATTTACGTGAAATTTCAAATTTTTACGATTTGTATTAATTGTTAATTCTCCGACTACTAAACAACAACAACAACAACAAAAACAGCAACAATCATTGGTTGTTAATGGGGGAGCGAAGGGTTGATTGTCGGTCTGTTGTTTTTTTTTTTTTTTTTTTTTTTTTTGCCACTTTTGAAAATACTTATTTTTTTTACCGAGAGAGTTTTTTTTTTTTTTTTTTTTTTTAAGGTACGCATAAATCTTGAGTGACTCGGTTTTTCACAAAATTTATGGTGGTTACGTTCTCTTTTTGAACTGCGACGACGACGATGATGATAGCGCGCGGCGTCTGATGGTGTATTTTGTTATAAATGAAAATATTTTGTAAATGAAAACTGAATGTGAAAATACTAAGTGCTACTGGACGCCAGTCATTGTGGTGCAATTATGTTTGTTTTATTTGCTAAAAGGAATTTTTATGTGTTTATTTAACGTCTTCTCATACCATACGACACCGCAATATAAAGCATTAAACTAACAACGTCCTAACAACCTAAAGCAATCCTATGATTTTAATTCGCAGGTCCTAGAGTACGAAAACCGAAGAAAACCAACAATATATCGCAAGTGAGTGAAAAAGGTCAAACGCCTACTGCCACCTCAGAAGATAAACGACCGCGTACCGCTTTCAGTGGCTCACAGCTGGCAAGACTGAAGGTAGATCATTTCTCTATCTTTTCATTTTTTTTTTTGTTTTTTTTGTTTTTTTGTTTTTTTTGCAAATTTTTCCTTGCAGTCTTGTATAACAATGAATTTAATGTTAATCTCGTTGACTGTAGCATGAATTCAATGAGAATCGTTATCTAACGGAAAAACGACGCCAGCAGTTAAGTTCCGAGTTAGGTTTAAATGAGGCTCAAATCAAAATCTGGTTTCAAAATAAACGTGCCAAACTAAAAAAATCGAGTGGTGTGAAAAATCCATTGGCGTTGCAGCTGATGGCGCAGGGTCTCTACAATCATTCGACGGTACCTTTGACACGCGAAGAAGAAGAACTACAAGAGATGCAGGAACGTGAAAGGGAGGCAGCCGCGGCAGCAGCAGTTGCGAACTCACTAACGCCGACCAGCGCGAATGCGGTGACCTCATAAGGCATTATTGAAAAAATTTTGTAAAAAAAACAAAGAAAAGCGAAAAAAATTGTTTGAGCAATTAATGTAAATAGTATTGAAAGCAATATAAAATTATTAATTATTTATAATTGATAATTTGTGAAAAAAAGTTCAGGCAACGTATCTATTTTGTTGTGCTTCTTTGTTATGCTTTAAAATAAACTTTTGAAAAATTTCTAGTCCTTTAGTTTATATCTACTAACTGTTAAGTACAGTAAATTTAAGTTAAATTTAATTTGAAAATAAAACAAAAAAAAAAAAAAAAAAAAAAATTAATTAAAAAAGTTTATTTTAATTATTGTTAATTTAAATCGATAAATTAAATTAAATGTAATTTTCATGGAAAAAATCGAGAAATGTTTTTCTTCCGTCTCTTCTTTTACAGGTAAGAAAATTTATTTACACAAAAAATCTTTTCAAATGTAGCAAGGCTTTTGTACCCAATGTTGGTGTTACCAAGATCATTACAACAAATTATAAATAATTTTCAATTTTTCTAATTTTTGAAATTTGTTTATATACGTTAGACTGTACTGCGGTACAAATATGCATTCAGTTCGTGCGGAGTTATACAACGGCCAGAAGGACTCGAGAATACGAATCTATTCAAAATCACTTTCTGACTCAATTCAAGCTTGTCGATCCTTCATATTTTTTCGCACAATTTTTGATCAAATATTGGAAACTAACCTGTTTTCGCCTAAGGGCGAACGCTACTAAAAACGTTATAGGACCACTTTTTTAACACATCCCGTATAATACCTTATTCTGAAAAGCCCTAACTAGCTATTTATAGCAACGTCTTACTCATTTATACCATGGCCATTATATTGAAGATTTGAATTTTCTATACCGATTAACAAGGGGCGGGAACATAGTCATAATAGATTCTTACGATCGACCTAGATTCTTACCAAGATTACAATCTATGCACTTTATAAGTGGCTTGGGATTACTTGAATTTTATGAGCCTTAAGTGAAACGACCAAATTTATACAGATCATTGCCTTAAGAGTGATATGAAAAAAGAAGAAAAAGTGTAAACTAAATTTGTTTTTTTTTTGAGTTTGAATTTATACTCATTTCTAAACTCAATATCATTTATATGGTTACGGCGGCTTCAACAAAAACGAATCCGATGGAGCACATATGCAAACAGACTCCTTGGCCGCTATTCGATATTGAGATTATTGCATCATCAAGCCTACAACTTATATTGTGTGGCATGTAGTTCCGTCCTTTTGATAGCGCATGTTATTCCAATTGACATCACAAAAAATTCGTTAGCATTGATCTCTCCTGCTCTGTATTTATGGTAACAAGATCTCTATCCTCGTTTCAAGGAAACAACGAGTGGGATAACACCTTCAGCACAAAAATCACTCGAAAGCCAAAGGTGTGTCCTTAATGCTATAGGTTGTGAATTGGCCCCAAAAACGATTACTCTGCTTGCTCGCTGGGTTATTAAGGTAAAGATGAGCCTTACATAAGAGGATGGTCTCTCAAAGAAGTTGCAATATGCGAATACTTATCGAGATTAAAAAATTCAGAGTTAGTTGCGGTGTAAATGTTTTTCGTGATAAAATTGCAAACTTTAATGAAAAATGATCGAATGATTTTGATATTTGAAACAAATCTTATACGAAAAATGCATACGCGTGCAGAAATGCGAAGACATGCGACAATTTTAGATATCTCCTCGCATTCTGCAAATTAGCTGCTCTGATAACAAGAGGCACTTGCGAGCTCAAAATTTGTCCTATTACGAATGAATATTATTTCCAAAAGGGAGAGGGCAAGAAATGACAAACGTGTATAAAAACACATACATATATACGTATGTACATGCTTATATATATATTTATATATATATATATATGTACATATTTTTGCAAAAGCACTTTTGGGATTTTTTGCTCAGTTTATTAAAAAAAAGAAATCTAATCTGTACAGCAGTTAATGTCATCCATACAAATAGATGTTATCCTGTTCTTACATTATCAAAACCCCAATCATGACCTTGTTGTGTAAATTTTCTGTGCCACAGCAGAACCTTACATTTCTGTAGCGCATCTGATATTTTGTCTACCTTGGCATTAAGGAATAAGTTGATAGTGTTTAAAGGCTAACATACCATAAATAAAATATGGTTCATGATTTAACTTTTGCGATAAATGTTCATGGGAAAAACAAGTGTGTTACCATTCGTCATTAGCTAGAAAATGTCATACATGGAAACAGTTATTCAAAATTGGATTGCAGTTTGAAAGTCATTATTAATTGATTGCAAATAATGAAAGCAGAACTAAGTTAAAGAGGTTATAGAGAAAGTGTTTTAAATTTCCTCGCAAACAAATCTGAATACAAAAAGAAAAACACTAAGCAAGTTATTGCGAATTAGATTCAAATTGCTAGACGACTATATGCGAGAAAAGAAATTTTGATAAATGACAAGAGAGCAAAATTGCACCTAACGCAAGGCTAAAGCATTATCATTATAGAGAATGGCGCTGAAACAACTGATTGCATTTCGTTTTGAGCATTTTTCAATAACCGCCTTGATTAAACGCTAAGTGAAGAAAGTCTCTCTGTAGTTCAACCGACTATGGATTAGTCCATTAAACATTTGCCAGATTATTTTATTAATATCTCTTCCTTGCAATTTCCTTCCTTTTCATTTCTAAGTACATATTCAAAAAAAAAAAAATAAATAAAAATAAATAATAATAAAAAACAAAAAACAAAAAAAAAAAACAAACCTTGATTATAATAAATTGTTGTAACTGACTCAAGTTGGAAAAAAGTTTTTGTTGCACAGCCATATAATATAAAATTGCTCTTGTTCGTTCTCTATTTAATGGATTTTTTACAGCATTCGTAACTCGAGTTCAAAGCAAATTGAACAAAAGAAACTAGAAAAAAAATTAAAAAAAAAAAAGAAGAAAAAAAATATATACACCATAACACTAACTACATACAACGTGGGTGGTCTTACCATTAACCATTGAATTTACATGCGTTTGCAAGCATCATCTCATATACAAAACATTGCTGTGAAAAAGAAACAAAAAATAAGGAAGACATAGAGAGCCAGCCAGCAATCTTTACCGACAGCAACTATATGAAAAACAAAAAGCACCAACAACATTGATTTTTGTTGGCGATACAATTTAAAAAGAAATAAAAATCGAATTAATTACTTAACTCTTAATAAGAAGACAGAGAGAGAAAAGCCGGTTTTAGTATTGTTTGTGTTTTTTTTTATATCCATCGCTGGATAATGATGGTATATTAATTTTTGTACCCTCTTTGTAGCATCGGGGATCACCCAAAGGATGTAATTACTTGAATGCAAATCCATTGACTTATCGTTCAACCCGATGGTTTTTGGAATCCTTTAAGTCCGATCAATTAATATAACAAAAGCTGAAGCTTACGCGTATATGTTTCTATTCGAGTACGAAGTTCATAAACGGCTGTAAGCTTTTGTGCAAACTAATGAGGAAGATTGCAAAATTTAATTAAATAAATCGGTAATAACGGTAACGTGTGTAGCGAATATTTTTTGTAGCTAAAGTGTCAAAGCAAAAAATGACTGCAATTAGAGTATGAAGCGTTCTACAATTTCCCTGTATTCACCTTACGTGCTGGGTATGCAGTATTCGCCCTAGCTTTCTGAACCTTTCTTTTTATATTCATCAGCGACGGATGAGGGGTGCATTCATTTTGTGAAAATGCTTGCAACAAATAGAAGAAAGTTTTAGAGACTCCGGAGATTAGCACCAAATTGAATTGTGAATCGGCTTAAGCGTGTCCGTCTGTCCTTCCGCTGTAATGTCTGTTGGATGCAAAATCACTCTCTCGACCTCAAATTTCGCAGAAACACTGGAGATTCTTGCACGCGAGTTGGCATTGGAAATGATCCAAATCGGTCGAAGGGCACGCCTACAGTGTCATGTACACTGAGAACACTTCTGTTTTTCAAAAGGAATAACATAATGATATTTTGCTCATTACTCATAAACTACAGCAGACAAATCTACAAAGCTTCAAAACTTCATTTTTGTAAGCTCTCTATAGAACACAAAAGCAAGCTTTTAAATAAAGCATATAAATGTTTGGGCCACACCTAAGTAAGTCCATCTGTCCGTCTGCCGAACTATGTAATAACTGCAGTGACAAGCTCGTGTTTGCAAAAGCTCGAGTTTGACAATAGACCAGAAAAGTCAAAGAACATACCTACAATGCTTACACATCCATACACACAAAACTGAGAACACCGTTACTTTCCGTGTTTTTTGCTCGTTGCTCATAAAGTACACAAGATATACACAATATAAAATTTCACAAAATTATTCTAAAAAACTAGGAAAAATCAGCCATGCCCACCCAATGTTATAGATGTTTGTTTTTTTTCAAATCTCTTATAGGATAACTTTGATGGGTATAAACGATTCGGTTGCAACCGAATACAATTTTCTTAGTTTTTTTTTTTTTGTTTTTTTGGAATTTAATCGTATCCAGCGAATATATCATTTCCAAAGCGCAATTTACTTAAGAGTAAACGAAAGCTAACCAAATAAAAAAAACTATAAAACATATGACTTGAAAAAAGTCACTGAACTCAACGTCATCAGGGTTCAAATTAAATGCTGTTTGTTCGCCTTTAAAACAGTAGGCGCTCTTATAACGCACCTAAGGTTCTCGTAGGTTAATGCGTGTGCATTTTAAATAGAAAATTTAAGGAAATGTGCGTTGTTTGTTATAAGGAAATATAAGAATTTGAAGGCTGCATGAAGCATGCGACTAAAACAGCCGAACAACAGACATGTGCAGGTATTGTTGTATCTACGATTGGGTTTTTGTAGCATTCAAAGAAAATTTATATTTTGATTTTGCAGATTTGAAATACAAGAATAGTTCTAACGCATCAACAAAGGAGGAATTTTTCACTTTGCTGATTAACCCTCACACCAACG